CAAATTGAATAATTTATCGATAAATATTATTTCGTGCTATAAAATTTTCACCCTTTTTTTAATTGTAGCAAAACTCAATATATTATTATTTACTCGTTTTTTCATTTTATTATTTTATTTAAACTTTTTTTTTTGGTAATCTATTTAAACTTATTATACAAATATATGATTCATTCTCTTCATTGTAATCGAATGCACTGTAATACAATTAAACTTTAATATATTTTAATCCGTTAAATTTTTTATTCTTTTTTAGTAAAAGATTAAATGAATTATTTTAATAATCCGTTAAAATTTATATATAAGTAATTATTTCCCCCGCGTTGTAGCGCGGGTCAAAACCTAGTTTCACGTAAGTTGTAAAGAAGAAAAGAGATGATATGTCACGTAAATGTCATGATTCATTCCATATAAATGCCTCTATCTAAAACTTGGCACAAATACTTGGGAAGTTTGAAAACAAATTGCTAATTAGGTTATTATCTTCGTTCTCTAAGTTAAGTTTTAATAGGGGTTCACACAATCAATCACAGACGTTTTGCCAACTATATATATATGCCACTTGAGATTTAGTACGAATGCTTTATTCGTCGTAGATTTGCAGATAACTATTTATCGAAGAGCTTGTTCAAGCTCCTCGAACTAGTCTATTAACCGATACTAAAAAAATTGAAATGTAAATAGCAAAATCACTCGAATTTCTACATTTTTTTTTCTTTTACGACATATTTTTGAGATTAGTTAGGATTGCGGCCTATAATTTCCAACGAAATTTTCCATAATATGATTCAGAAAACAAAGAAAAGAGAGAAAACATTACAGGGAGGAGATGCAAGCGTGTGCATTTTCAAGAATCATAAATGAATTAGACCACCTACATGTTTCTTGTTTGCTCAACCACTTCCAAGTCCCTACTCTCCCTCGTTCCCTTGCTCCATCTTCTTCACTTTCCACGGTCTTCGTTTCCAAACTACAAATTAATATTCAAATTATATCTCTATGAATTTTCATACTACAAATACCCTTTAGATTAACAATGTTAAAACTATAGAAACTTATAGAGATATCTTAACAGTTGAATCTAAAAAGAAAGATCTCCTAGGGATCTATTAGATTTTATTTTATTTTAAGAACTATTCCTCTCCAACAACATCATTTATAATGTCTGGTAAAGAGATACTAAAATGGAGTTTTAAACAATAAACTCGACTTTTACTAATTTATGGCACTATTATTTTAACTGGTTTCATTACCGGAACCAGTCAGAAACATAGTGTCGCCCTCATGAATAGTGTAATCAATGCACATTCATCAAGAAACTAAAAACACCCCAAGAAAGATATACATCAAGATCGAATTAATTGACTGAGAGGATAACTAACACAAGATCATGATCGGCTATATTTCGTGCCACGATCACTTATACGCTGTCCACAAGTTTCATATTTTTGTCACACACACACAAAAAAAAACGTAATTATTTCTCGACAATACTTCGAAGTTGGTTCGATGTTGCTGTCCGAGTGTATTGGCCCGGTCCCTACGTTGCATTTGGAACAGCTTATGTTATGATTAATGCTTCAAGGAAAAGACAGTGAGACATATCCAGCTAATTAGGGTTGCTCTTGTTTGAATCGTTTTAAGCCTCCCACGAAAATATGTAATAAGAATCAAAATCAAGATTCTTGTGTTGAGATGTCTAAGTAATCTTTGATTTCATGAATCTAAACGAGTCATATCAATATTTTCAAATCATATCGTTCATAATTCGAAATTTTGGATATCTTAGAAAGGGATTAATGGATTCACTCGACAATATTAAGGGTTTTGAAAACAACATTTTATCTCCTTTGACATATAAGACCTGATGATTGAAACAAGGCTAAAAGAAGTATATAAGATGTAACATTGATATATATCGTTAATAAAAACAATATATGAAAAATATAGAAGAAAAGAGAGAAGGTGGAGATAAGAATGAGATAGTGATCAATCGAAAAGGGAACAAAAACTTTAATAATTTAAAGAGTCCAACTTTTTTGAGCTATACACACGAATGTGATTTGCAAAAGACACGACTCTTTGGAGTCAAGCTTGTGTATGCATCACTAGACAAGTTGTGTTTCAACATCATCATTCCTCTTCTCATCTTAATTTAACTTTCTCCATTTTTACATTTTATTATTATTATTTCTATCACCTTTATAAAATGTCTTTTGTTTTGGGTGCATATATATATCATTTCCTTAGAAAATTAAATTATTTTAATGTTTTGGTACAAAAGTATAGTCATGTCAAATATACTAAGATTCAAGTTATGTCATATCACACATACTAATTTCAAAATTTTAACGTTATTTATGAATCTATATACCGTAAGATAATTCACAACGAAATATCTACGATATGTTTCGCATGTTATTTTTCTAAAATAAAAACGGTTAACCTGCGAAAACATATTTAAGATTCAAAACGATTTATGTACAGTAAAACCTCTATAAATTAATAATGTTGGGACCATGAAAATCTATTAATTTATAGAGGTATTAATTTATCGATAAATTAATAATTATTAATTTATAGAGAGATATTCCTAATTTGGAACATATTTTCAAAACAATATTTAAAAATAAGATTTAATCATGATAATTAGTATTTTATATAATCAATTACAAATAAAACAATAATTATTATGTATTAAAAGAGAATGCTAACTATATTTCATATAGTAAAATATTAGAAATAAAATCTAACAAAAACTAATGTGTCTATAATATTGATGGGACCATATATTTACAAAGGATTTTCAAAAAATTTATTATCTTATTATTTTATCGAAATGTGTCTAAAATTATACTGGTCCCAAGTTGGGATCGGAGAAATTTATTAATTTATAGAGATTATTAATTTATCGAGTATTAATTTATAGAGGTTTTACTGTATATCATACATACTTGTCTCCTCCCGTATTCTCTGGTTTTCATTGTCAAAATCCTTTGCTTCCAATGTTGCTCTTTTGTTACTCTTAACAAAAAAACTGTAGTCTAAACTTCGTCCATATATAGAGTTTAAAAAAAAAAAAAAAAATCTCAAACATAAACAAAATAAAAGAAGAAAATACTCATTTTGATTCAGGACATAAACTGTTGATGTGATCACACAAAAGAATCAATGTAGTTTTGGCTTAACTAATGTTCAATATAAATTACATGTACTAACAGTTACTGATCAATGCCATTTCCTTACTTAAATCGGGTTACTATACAATTTTGAGTTAACCAAGAACTAGCTTTAGTAATCATCTACATAAGCATCACAGAGATCTAGTATAAGTTTTCTCTTTTAATAATACATTTCTCACTTAGACTACATAAAACATGCATGAACACACAAACATGAAAAAAACTATTCTCAAGAAGATTGTTTCCGGCCACCACGTTAAGTGATTTTAGAAATCCGTAAAAAATGGTAAACTTAAAGTAATCATTCGTGCAAATTCACAGAAGAAAATGGTATACATTCGTGCATCTCCAAATTTGTGAGAAAATACATTGCATGAGTTCGTTATATAAATGAAAACAATACACACTAAACTCTATGACATTAAACTATATAAGAAGAGAGGCTACGTATCGATCTCATGCTTATCTTTTATGTACTTATCTAATCTTTTGGTGATGGAAGGGGCAAGAAGAACATAGAAAGGAATCTTTATCTTGAAAAAAAAGAGAAATAACAAAATAATATCTAAAATTGGTAATTAATCAAATCCATTGAATAAAGTCTTAACGTTAACATCAAAACGCATGCGGGTTTAGAAAACGAACATAGTTAATTAAGCGTAATCTATGGGGGAATGATTCGAGTTACCACTTTGGTTCATTCTTTTTAAGCTTTATGATTCAATGAATACACAGCACGTGGAACCTTACCCCCACAACCCATTTTTGTAGGGGAAATAATCAAATTAAATCATTTAAAGATAGACATCTCTATGCATATATATGAATAGCACATGGCTTTACCATTCCTCTATGGCTCTATCAATTACACCAACACATTTGACCCTTATCCACATGGGTCTCCCTCTCCTCTATTATTATATTCTCTCCTTTTACTAAATTTTGAAATCTACACACATATAATTATTTACATTTTCCAACTCACAATACATACAATATGCCATGCAAAAATATTTTCGAAATATGTGACGTATAATATTCGGTATTATCTTAGATTTAAAAATAATCTCATATACGTGCAAGAATGATAAAAAAATCAACTTTTATTTACATTCAACAAAGTGCCTGACTTAGAAGAATACTTGGATTCTCTATATAAACTGCATTTTAACTATTTAATAAAAGAACTGATAAAGGTAAACTAAACAAAAATTAATCAAATTGTAAGAATATATATATTGATTAATACAGTACTCAATTATGCACAAAATGGAGTAACAATGATTAGCACTTGATATTTTCTTTATAAACCTGCACTATACACTTTTATAAAAGAAAAAAGAAAAAGCTTTAATAAACAGTAAAATAAAATGTTATAATAACACACCTGTCTTTATATTTTATTTTTCATTTCCTCTGTTTTGCTTTTATTCCGGGTCGGCCGATAGAATTTTTCATCATTTCATTCCATTCTAATAATTTTAATTCTTGGTTATAATTTAATTATAAACTAAATAATACATCCTTTGCAAAGAAAAAAAGAAGAGGAGAAGAGAGAGAGATGGACGGCTAAGATGTAACGTAAACAAAGTTGGCGGAGGGAAATGAGGAGCGTGGAAATGATATAAACAAAAGAGTCGTGTCCACATGGGCGGCCTTAGCCTTCTTGTCCCACTTCTGTCTCCTTGCCTCTTTCTTGCCTTTCTTCCTCCCGACAACACTTCTCTCTCTTCCTTTAACCCCCTAACTTCTATGCTCCTTTATATATATCTCTCTCTTCCTCCTCCTCTTAACTCATCAAACCAAACTCACCAAGAACAAGAACAAGAAGAACAAGAACAAGAACAAGAAGAAAGAAGACAAGAAGGAAAACACACAAAGATTTGATATATTAGATCCAAAAGAAATGGCGTACGAGAAAGTCAACGAGCTTAACCTTAAGGATACAGAGCTATGTCTTGGATTACCAGGAAGAACAGAGGAAATCAAACAAGAACAAGAGGTTTCTTGTGTTAGAAGCAACAACAAGCGTCAATTTGAGGAAACTCTTGATGATGAAGAATCTACACCTCCTACGAAGTAAGTAAAGAGATCTAACTTTTCCAAAGTCGCTTTCTCTTTCAAATTTATTGGTTCTTGAATTGTTTTACTCATCTTTCTTTGCTCTATTTACAGAACTCAAATCGTTGGATGGCCACCAGTGAGATCTTACCGTAAGAACAACAGCGTAAGCTACGTTAAAGTGAGTATGGACGGAGCTCCTTACCTCCGCAAGATCGATCTAAAGACATACAAAAACTACCCTGAGCTTCTCAAGGCGTTAGAGAACATGTTCAAGTTCACGGTTGGTGAATACTCTGAGAGAGAAGGATACAAAGGATCTGGATTTGTACCAACATACGAAGACAAAGATGGAGATTGGATGTTGGTCGGTGATGTTCCATGGGATATGTTCTCTTCTTCATGTAAAAGACTCAGAATCATGAAAGGATCCGATGCTCCTGCTCTAGACTCTTCTTCCTTATGATCATCCAAAAGAAGATGAGAAGCTTTTGTTTGCCAGAGGAGATGACTATGATCGATGAATGAAGAAAAAAAACCCTTTTTGGTTTTGATTCTGATCGGAGTTTGACTAAGTTGACCGGGAAAAAACGAAACTTTCAGGGGTTTTGTCCGATGAGAGATCCATCTCTAGCGATGTTCTTTTTGTTTTTGTTTTTTTTTAGATTTGAAGGAGCTTTTATGTAAAGATACATGAGAATTTTATGTATAATACGGATACATATATACAATATAGAATGTATTAATTTTAAGTAGCAGTCTTCTATAAGATCAGTTTCTGTTCTTGATTAAATTTCTAAAACTTATACACATTTGTTTAACCAAAAGGTTATCATCTTTAACAAAAACTCTCATTTACATATACTTCCAGTATTTAGCATCAACTGAACTTTACAGCTACATAAAATTAGACCTAATTTAAACAATTGAACCAATATTGTAAAAATACTACAGAATATTAATGATTACAAAAGCTAAAATAATTTGAATATTTTGCATAGAAAATTGTAGGAATCAAACAATATGACATAGAAAAACATCTAATATAATGAAACAGAGGGAATATTATCAGTTTTTATTGGGTCTGATCAATTATATTACTTTACTTTGGGTCAGATTGATTATTATTAGTTTATTATGGGGTTTTACTTAAATACCAAGAAATATGGGATAAAACAACAAATACGAAAGAAAAATTACTCATGTTGGTCAACAATTTGTGGAGTTGACTTCCACTCGCATAGTCTTCTTCCTTGTTTAATCTAAATCTTATTAAATTTTGGTTTGCGTCGTTTAGCTACAAGTTTGATTTGTACTCACTACAGTTGCAAACGAAATTGTAGAACATTGTCTATGGATTCTTCTGGAATTGAGGAAGAGTATGATTTTTCGCAATCGAAGTAACTCGAAGAGTTCATGTGTATCCCCAACATTGACAAAGCTTGGGTTTTCAAGTCTGTTTCTGGTACCCTCAATTTCATTGGTTACTCACTTTTTTCTTTCTCTCAGTTCAGTGATGAATTGACTGTGTAATTGTAGAAATTTCAAGTTTTGTGGTGTCTCAAAGTGTTTCCTTTTTTTTTGTTTACATAACTGTAGGTTCTCAGGCAATGTTTGCTATGAGTCAAGCAAATCTTTTGGCTAACAAAAGGAGAAAGTTTTTGCTGTCAACTCATATCTCCAAGGAGAGTAGAGAGTCTGTGAAGTTCCATTGGTCTCCGTTTCCAGTTGAGATGAATGGTGTGTCAGCTTTTGTTCCATCTCCATCAGGGCTGAAGCTTCTTGTAGTTCGGAATTCTGAAAATGTAGAATCTCCTACTCACTTTGAGATATGGAGTTCGTGTCAGCTAGAGAAGGAGTTTCATATTACTCAGAAAGTTCATGGTTCTATATACGTTGATGGATGGTAGTGCATTGGTAACTTTTTTTTGGTTTTGATGTGAAAATTGCTGGTGAGTAGAAGAGATGATAAGGCTGTGTGTAATGCAGGTTTGAAGGTATTTCTTGGAACTCTGATGAGACTCATGTAGCTTATGTTGCTGAGGAACCTTTACTGTCTAAGCCTACTTTTAACCATCTGGGTTATAAGAAAGGAGATTCCTTTGGTGATGATTTTGGAAGCTGGAAAGGTCAAGTAGATTGGGAAGATGAGTGGGGAGAAGCATATGCCGGAAAAAGGCAGCCTGCGATGTTTGTTATCAATCTTGACAGGTCTTGCTACCCTTGATTTAATACTTGAGAAAGAAAAAAGGTCTCCTCAATGATGGCTGACACTTCTTGTTAAATGCTTTGCTTTTGATTTGACAGTGGGAAAGTCCAACCTATCAAAGGAATTCCAAGATCTTTAAGTGTTGGACAGGTTATTTGGAGTCCTAACAGTAAAGGTTCAGATCAGTATTTAGTTTTTGTAGGATGGTCAGGAGGTAAAAGAAAACTTGGTATTAAGTACTGCTCCAACCGACCTTGTGCGATATACACAACTAAGTTTACTGATGCGTCATCATCATGTTCAGATGAATCCAAGTAAGTTTGTGGCATTTGATTCACTTGAGGATTCATAATCTTAAAATGGTCTTAACTTCTCGGTGTTTACTTGTCCTCTAGAAATAACGAAAATGAAGCATGTCCTCTATATAATTGGACAAAGAGCATAAGCAGTGGTTTCTCTCCTCGGTTCAGGTTCGCATTTTAAACTGCAACTGATAATATTCCGATAACCTTTGCTGAGATGTAGCAAAAATTATATTGAAAAGAAAATTTTACTCATCGTTCAACAGATCTTGCTGTTTTAAACCGCTTTTCCTTGTGTATGCATTTGAAACCAACATTTGTTTTTCTGGTTACTCTGTTTCTAACTGGGACTTTCTTATAAAACTTGTGTAAACAGATATTAAGTTTGGTTTTGATCTTCTCACCATTAATTACATCTGTATCAAATTTCTTTTCTCAGCAAAGATGGGAAGTTGCTTATGTTTTTATCCTCAAAAGGTGCTGTTGACTCTGGGGCACATCGGGCAACTGAATCACTTCACAGGATTAACTGGCCTAGTGATGGGAATTTTTCCGAAACCACAAATATTCTTAATGTGGTCAGATTTTATGGATATTTATCTAACTAAACTTTTAATATATTCTAACCAAACAAATCTTTCGTTTTTCTCTGTTGTCTGATTATGATATGCTTATATATCTTATACTGCAGATACAGGTAGTGAAGTATGCTGAGGATGGTTGTTTCCCAGGGCTCTACAGTTCCAGGCTTCTAAGTGATCCATGGCTATCAGATGAACAAACTCTCGTATTGAGTTCCTTTTGGCGCAGCTGTCAAGTAATTCTTGCCGTGAATTTGTTGAGGTACAACACAATTGTCAATAGGTGTGTAATTCTAAAACATGGTCTGCTGCCACAAAATAATGATATAAATATCATGAGAATTTTACAGTGGGGAAGTATCGCGGGTCAGCCCTAGTGATTCAAATCATTCATGGAACATCGTGGCATTAGATGGTGATGATATTGTCGCTGGTAATATGTTGAACATTTTTCATTATCTTTAATTACTTACTGTCCCATTAAACACATGCAGCTTGAGACATATGATTTTTTTTTGTGTGAATAGTGTGTAGTAGTCTAGTGAAGGTTCCTGAAATTAAGTATGGGAAGAAAATTCTCAGCACATATGGTAAACTTTCATGGCAGTGGTTGAATATCTCAAGCCCAATCTTCAAATGCCCTGACATGGTAAATCATATTGCAACCACCATTTTTGGTTTAGTTGATGTTTTTGACATGGATCTCTCAGGTTATGTTAGGGCTTTCATCTCTTCAGTTCGAAATTCTAGAAATTCCAGTAAGTGGTGTTTCTGAAGATCTTACCGAAGGTAATTTACACTTAGTTTAAGACATTGCTTTCAATGCCAAAAAGGAGATTGTATTATGCAATATGATTATCTGCTAGTGTATCTTGTTCACGTGTACCTGTATACATGTTCTGACCAATCCATAATCAACCAATTGCAGGGGCCAAGAAACCCATTGAAGCCATATATGTATCAGCTTCAAAGAGCGACAAATGTGATCCTCTAGTTGTTGTTATTCATGGAGGCCCTCATTCTCTCTCTCCATCCAGCTTCTCCAACAGCCTGGCTTATCTCTCCTCGATTGGAAACAGTCTGCTGATTGTAAATTACAGGTGCTAAGCTTCTATGCCTTGTCAATTTTTCCACCAGTGCATCAAGCTTGTGCTATAGTTCTCATGAATCTAACTTTTCTTTGATGTATTATGTGGTTCAATTAAAGGGGTTCGTTAGGATTTGATGATGATGCTTTGCAGTCTCTTCCTGGGAAAGTTGGTTCGCAAGTATGTATGCAACCTGCAGTTTGATTTTTCTTCTTTCTATCTATCCTTCTATCTCTTCTTCATGGATCTGAAAACAGCCTAACTTATGTGCTACAGGACGTGCAAGATGTGCTTACAGCTGTTGATTACGCCATTGACATGGGATTTGCAGATGCATCAAGAATAACACTGTTAGGTGGTTCTCATGGTGGATTTCTGACCACTCACTTGATTGGCCAAGTACTTACTTTAGTCTTCAGTTTTTTTTCTTCGTTCTGAACACCTAGTCATAAATTCTCATTTTTCCTGCTAATTCTTTTTCAACAGGCGCCAGATAAATTTGTAGCTGCAGTTGCAAGGAATCATGTTTGCAATTTAGCATCAATGGTTGGCATTTCAGATATACCTGATTGGTGCTTCTTTGAAGCCTATGGAGACACGAATCACTTTACAGAAGCACCTTCACCTGATGATCTTTCTCGTTTTCATCAGATGTCTCCTATATCGCATGTCTCCAAGGTCAAGCCACCATATCTACCTATTATCATTTCTTCTGACACAATACTTATGTCTTTTGGTTCTTGAGGACATTAAAGACATTCATAATAGTCTTGTGTTACACTAGTGCAGGTGAAAACTCCCACCTTATTTCTTTTGGGAACTAAGGATCTTCGTGTTCCAGTATCAAATGGATTGCAAGTAAGATATTTTGGGGTTATACTTCCGTTGACACAAACTCAATTGCTAAAACGTGGTGCTTAATCTTCTGTTCTTGAAACATGCAAGTACGTGAGAGCACTGAAGGAGAAAGGAGTCCAGATAAAAGTTTTAGTATTCCCCAACGATAATCATCCCCTTGATAGGTAAAATTCACAGCATATTTTCTTCTCATTACATAGCATTTTAAAAATACATTTGTGTGTACAGACCACAGACCAATTTTGAAAGCTTTCTGAACATCGGTTGCTGGTTCAAGAAGTACTGTAAGCAGTGAAGAAGCGAGCTTCCTTGCTATGTTCGCATACGTCTACATTGCTGGGAAAGTTAAAAATAGATACAGCTCATACAACACGATCCTCTCCAGATAGGGATCATGGAAACTACACCTGAAGTGTTTCAAGTATGATTTTTTTTTCATTATGTGAACCCCCATAGAAGTCTGTGGCTGAGATTTGTGTTACGAAGTTTGGAGGTGAAATGTTAACTTTTTCATGGTTTTTTATGTGTATCTGATAAAAGTTTAGGAATATTTGGAAACAAAAATGTATAATGGAGTTGTTTTGTACAAATAACAATCTTCAGGAAATTACTTCTTTTTATTTCCTTTAAGGGCTTAAACTTATTACGAAACTATCAATTAGCCCCCAACTGTTCTCTCTTTTCAATCGGACAAAGGACGTGTGCGCGCGCAATTATATCCATTTGCAACTTCCCAGAAAAAAAAAAAAAATCGTCGGAATTTACAGAGAAACACGTTCGCCGGAGAATTAAATACCACCGTCGTCTCAATTGGCGGAGCAAATCCTTTTCCTTTTCTCTAGAGACTAAACTAATGCTCGTTGCAGCTCAAAAATGTTGTTGAATCTTCGTCTAGATGGCTGTAGCTTACATGTTCTCTGTTCTACAAAAACTTTACCGATTTCGCCTCTCGATAAGTTCCCATCAGTCAAGAAAGTGAAGCAGAATTACATACCAGGAACTCACGAGAGTGACAAAGGACCACAGAGAAGCACCAGGCATGGCGACCGAGGCTGTGGTACTGTTGCTCATGAAGTTGTCTCCGGAAGAAACGTACTTTTTGTAAACCCAGGTAATGGTTGCGTCGGAAAATCAGTGGTTAGTGATGGGTTTGTTGATAAGAGAGGTAAAGATGGTGGATTTGGTGGGAATGGTTTGGTTGGTAAAGTGCACACCAAGTGTTCGACGAAACGTCTGAGTTACGGAGGATGTATTCCAGCTATTTTAGAGGCTTTGGATTGTATTGAGGATGTTGAAGATGCGTTGAGTCCGTGGGCAGAGAGGCTTAGTAACAAGGAGAGGACGATTATATTAAAGGAGCAGATAAGATGGGAGAGAGCCGTGGAGATTTTCGAGTGGTTTAAGAGCAAGGGTTGTTATGAGTTGAATGTGATTCACTATAATATTATGCTTCGGATTCTTGGGAAAGCTTGTAAATGGAGGTATGTGCAGAGTTTGTGGGATGAGATGATTAGAAAAGGCATCAAGCCTATTAATTCTACATATGGGACTCTCATTGATGTTTATAGCAAAGGGGGGCTTAAAGTACATGCGCTTTGTTGGCTAGGGAAGATGAGCAAGATTGGGATGCAGCCTGATGAAGTTACGACGGGGATTGTTCTTCAAATGTATAAAAAGGCAAAAGAGTTTCAGAAAGCAGAGGAATTTTTCAAGAAATGGTCGTGTGACAAATCGTTTGGGATGTTGAGCATGACAGACAACAAGGTGGATTCACACGTTTGCTTGAGCTCTTATACTTACAATACGATGATTGATACGTATGGTAAGTCTGGTCAGATAAAAGAGGCCTTGGAGACGTTCAAGAGGATGCTAGATGAAGGGATTGTTCCAACGACAGTGACTTTTAATACCATGATTCATATTTATGGTAATAACGGTCAGCTTGGAGAAGTCACTTCCTTGATGAAAACAATGAAGCTTCATTGCGCACCTGATACAAGAACATATAACATTCTGATTTCACTACACACGAAGAACAATGATATAGAAAGGGCAGGGGCCTACTTCAAGGAAATGAAAGACGCTGGACTTAAACCGGATCCTGTAAGTTACCGTACCCTCCTCTATGCCTTTTCGATTAGACATATGGTTGAGGAAGCTGAAGGGCTTATAGCTGAGATGGATGATAATAATGTTGAGATTGATGAGTATACACAATCTGCTCTAACTAGAATGTACGTAGAAGCAGAAATGCTTGAGAAATCATGGTCATGGTTCAAAAGATTTCATATTGCGGGTAATATGAGTTCTGAAGGCTATTCAGCTAACATTGATGCCTATGGTGAGCGTGGATATATATCAGAAGCCGAGAGAGTATTTATCTGCTGCCAAGAAGTGAATAAAAGAACAGTTATTGAGTACAACGTAATGATCAAAGCATATGGAATTAGTAAAAGCTGTGAAAAGGCGTGTGTGTTATTTGAGAGCATGATGTGTTATGGGGTCACACCGGATAAGTGTACATATAATACTCTCGTCCAGATCCTAGCGAGCGCCGACATGCCTCATAAAGCCAGATGCTACCTGGAGAAAATGAGAGAGACAGGATATGTGAGCGATTGCATACCTTACTGTGCTGTGATATCGAGCTTTGTGAAACTGGGTCAGCTCAATATGGCGGAGGAAGTGTATAAAGAGATGGTTGAGTACTATATCGAACCCGATGTTGTTGTATTTGGAGTCTTGATCAATGCTTTTGCGGACACTGGAAACGTTCAGCAAGCTATGAGTTATGTAGAAGCGATGAAAAAAGCTGGAATTCCAGGTAACTCTGTTATACACAATTCTCTGATCAAGCTCTACACTAAAGTGGGGTACTTGAATGAAGCTGAAGCAATATACAGAGAGCTTCTTCAATCGTGTAACAAGGCGCAATATCCGGATGTATATACATCAAACTGTATGATCAACCTGTACAGCGAAAGATCGATGGTGAGAAAAGCTGAAGCGATATTCGAAAACATGAAACAGAGAAGAGAAGCAAACGAGTTCACCTTCGCGATGATGTTATGTATGTACAAGAAGAACGGCAGGTTCGAAGAAGCGACTCAGATAGCAAAACAGATGAGAGAGATGAAGATTCTCACAGATCCGTTGAGTTATAACAGCGTTCTCGGTCTATACGCTTTAGACGGAAGATTCAAAGAAGCTGTTGAGACTTTCAAAGAGATGGTTTCATCCGGACTCCAACCTGATGACTCAACGTTCAAATCACTTGGAACCATTCTGATGAAGCTCGGGATGTCAAAGAAAGCTGTTCGTAAGATCGAAGAAATTAGGAGAAATGAGATCAAGCGAGGATTAGAACTATGGATCTCAACTCTCTCATCTCTTGTTGGGATTGAAGATTGCGACGACGAGCTTTAGTGTTGAAAAGTATTGATAGATTAATTAATAGCTACGTCTCTTATGTATATAGAAACCGTTATAAAGATGTTGAAGCGGGAGATTTGATTTCTTCATGATTATACTAAATTGAACAGAAACATCGAAATAATAATAAAAAAAAACCAAAAACCCCAAACTTTGACACGTCACAATAAGCACCCGACATGGATCATATTACATAAACTGGGGAGAACATTACAGCTTTGAACATTGACAATGCGTATAAGAAAACCACGAAATGGAAAATTACATAATAAACACACTTGGCGTCGGCGAAGTATAAAAAAAAATCAACTTGACGGAACTGCGAAAGAGATTGGCCTAATGAGCTATGAAATGAACCATTCGTGTTTGTATGAAGTGAAGATATGTCCGATCACTAATCCACAAAACACACCAGGTCCAAATGCTATAGCAGCTGCTATCCAATTCAGCACTGGCTCTTCCGGTTCGGACAACGATTCATCGGGTTGCTGTGACGACGTAGGAACGGAAACATGATTGCTTTCTCCACAGATGTACTCGAGGCCATAGAGTCCGGAATTATCCATGAATGAAGAACAGTTTTGACTTCCAAACTGTGTGCTCCGTGGCACCAATCCTTGAAGATGATTGTGGGAAAAGTTGATGTATGATAGGAATGTGAGTTTTCCAAGACCTTGAGGAATTTCACCTGACAAGTTATTCTGTGATAGGTCCAGTGTCTCGAGCTTTGTGATATTCGCCAATGATGGTGGGATGTTGCATGTGAATGCATTGCCTGACAAGTTTAGAAAACGCAGGTCGCTCAATAGACCAATGGATCCAGGGATATTACCTGAAAGTTGGTTTCCGGAAAAATCAATGGCTTTGAAGCCACTAAAGATCTTAACAAAATCCATGTCTACTCCTTTGTAGACCAAAGTGATCGAATCATCGTGAAACCTATAGAAATGATCCCCCAGGTACTTCTCCGACTCTGGTGTATTCCAAGCCAATGACATTTCGGGCCATTTGGCGAAGTAGTCTTGTGGTAATGATCCAACGAAGTTGTTATTGGATATGTCAATGATCGCCAAACGTGGAAACCCTAAATAGGCAGAGGCGTTGTAGATTGGACCACAGAATGCATTTGAGCGAAGCACAAGAACCGTTAAGTATGTCAGAGATCCTAACCAAAAAGGAAACGTATCCTTGATCTTGTTTCCTCTCACATTCAGAAGTCGCATATCTGAACATTTGATCAAAGATTTTGGAAGTTTACCCACCAAATTGTTGTGGCTGACATCAAGTGACTGTAACTGCTGATCATGGATGCATAAATCTGGCAGAGATCCACTTAGACTGTTGTTTCGCAGAATTACATTATTGGATTTACTCAAACATTGAGGAATTGAGCCAGACAAATGGTTGTTGGACAAATCTAAGACGAATATGATGCCGCAGATCCATTGGGGAATTGGTCCTTGGAGTGAATTTGAACTTATATCCAACAATTCTAACATGCCAAGTTTCGCAGATTCGCCGAAACTGCTGAAAGAATTATGAGCAAAGTTCGCACACTTTTCCGTAAAAATTTCCGACGAATTAGGTGATCTCCACGAAACATGCGGTACTTGACCTTCCAACTTATTGGAGGAAAGGTTAATATAATCGAGTTTGAGTAATTTAGATATAGATCTAGGGACTGGCCCTCCGAAATTGTTATGGCTAAGATCTAAAGAAAAGAGATTGCCTAATTTGGATATAGATTTCGGGACTGACCCTCCGAAATTATTGTGGCTAAGATCTAGTTGTTTAAGCATAGATGATGAAGAGGTATTCCCAAAATCAATAGGTCCCTCAAATTGGTTATGGCTTAAATCTAGAAATTGTAAGGAAGAAATCATGAACAAAGATGAGGGGAAAGGTCCCACAAATGAATTGTTACTCCCATCAAGAGAAAATAAGTTGTGGAGTCCACTTAGGTCAGTGGAAAAGGATTGGAAGTAATTGCAGTAGAATTGTATAGAGGTGGAGCTGGTTAAATTTGGTAATACTATATCCAATCCACCAGTGAATTGATTTTCATAGAGGTTCAATCTAGAAAGCTTGGTGAAGTTGGCAAATGAAATAGGAATATTACCTTTGAGATCATTGTAGGAAAGGTCCATGTATTCTAGTTGGTTTAGTTTACCAATCGACGAGGGAACTTCACCTACTAGTAAATTATAAGTAAGATGAAGATGCGTGAGATGAGAAAGATTTCCAATGGAAGAAGGAATCTTCCCTTTGAGATTGCAAAACGAAAGATCTAGCTCACGAAGATGTTGGAGTTTAAAAAGGCCACTGCTAGATTTCAGAGAGGTGTTAGCTTTACGGTAACGAAGTTCTAGTGATATCACCTTTCCTAAAATATCATCACAAGTGACACCCTCCCAAGAGCAGCAGTCGGTGCTCTTGTTCCATGAAGTTGTTGGTACATGAAACTCCTTTTGTAGCTCCAAAAGAGCATCTCTTTGGTCGCCGAGGCACACAGACCGGGTGGGAGAAGCAAAGGTGTTTGGTAAGGGGTGAAGGAAAACGAAGAAATAGATGGTAATAATAATACCAAGAAAGCAACAAGACTGGCTTCGACTCATGACCTTTTTTCTTTTGGAAACAAGATAATTTGTATGTTGAATGGTAAGTGATGTTCATATAATTGCTAAGGCACTTCTCTTTATATAAGAACATTCTCTGTAAAGGAGCTTGACTTGACAAGTCTTCTACTAATTATATTATTTCAAAGATAAATGAGTTATAAAAGAAAACATTGTGAATATACTCTTCTTTGTGGACACTAGAAAAAGCTCTACAGATAAAAAAGCGATGGCAAAGAAATTACGTACAAACAAACGAAAAAGACAAATACAACCAAAGGGTAGAAACAAACATGTATGTGTACCGTGAGAAACGGCTTTGGAATTAATCAGTACACTACTTAGGGTCATGTCGTGGAGACTGGAGTTAGTGAACCAAGTCGTCTCATTGTTTTCGTGAAGAAATTTCTCAGAGCCAACCAAGTGTTGGAGAAAACGTCTAAATTACGGAAAGATGTATTCCAACTATATATTCTTGAGGTATATATATTGGATAGTATTAGAGGATGTGTTGAGCCATTGCATGGGAAATAGCTGTAGAGATATGATTTAATAGTGGATTAAGAGCAAGGGTTGCTAGGAATTGAATGTGATTCACTATAGCTTTTAAACTTATCAGAAAAAGGCTTAAAGCCTATTTAAGTCTACACAAGCCTTGCACATGCGCACCTCACGTGTGTAGCTTGTATTAGTAGTTCTATAATAGAATCCTCTGACTCATTTAGAGTCTTTCTCACACTTACATTTACGTCACATAATTCACAAGAGCGTTTCAGTCTTTGAGAAAGCAGAGGAATTTTTGAAATAAATGGCAAGTTATATTGTTTTGGTGAAATGATTATGAACAGTGTCTTTTTGAAAGGACGTTGTGGATTTCCCACCCCTTCCTGGTTATAATCCTAATTTGGTTGTTAGTAATAATATCAAAAAATCTATTAAGAATGAGTATTTTTAATGGCCCTGTGTCCTTCTATGCCTATGGTTCACTTGGATCAGAGGACGAGGACTATTTATTGTGGTAAGCCGGTGTCTTGTTCGCAAATAAAGATAAGGATAAACGTGCGAGACTTACTCGTATGTTAAAGGACATGGTTTTCTAGGCATACCAATGTCCTGCGAGCCAGAGAATGTAAATCATCATAATGTAAATTTAATGGTAATTTCAAAAGGCACCCAAGAAGACTATACAGCGTGGTTCATCCTTCTTGAAAGATTGTTTAAAATGGGTTACAAGCTTTTCTTACTCGATCCTGATGACTGCCAACCAGGAAGGCTACCTCTTTAGTGAGAGCTGCCAGGCAAAAGAGCTGCTTCCTCTTTCATTATATATGTTGCGTGTTGGGGTTTGCCTATTACTTGGTGAAGAACCTATACCAGATCTTGAAATTGAGGCTCTTCTTGCACAAGAGGAAGCAGAAGAGGAGGCAAGGTCACAAGGTGCTGCTACTTCCCACAACAACTAGCTTCGCTTGCGCGTTTTAAATGAGCTTTGGTTTTATGTATGAAATCATCATAACTTTCATCTTTCTTCTCTTAAACACTGTGTGTCTGTGTTACTTCTCTTCAACTCTGTTTGTTCGTGTGTTGCATCTCTTAATTTCTTCTAAGTAAACCTTAGATTCCATATTCATATCAAACCGGTTATACTTATACATTAGACTACAGATTGGTCATGTCAATAAAATAGTGATAGTTGAAAGAGCAAGTAGACATCATCGTTGCTTCCTTTTCTTCCCTGTGGCTGTGAATAAATGTCCGAGACCTTACGATGAGTTTTTTTTTATTTCAGTGTCTAGATTGTTTTGAAGATCATCAGCCTGTATCACGAGCAAGCCACATGAATGAAATATGCTTTTAGTGATGGGACTCGACACCTTTTTGTTTTCTTAAGCAGTTTATAAACCCAAAGTATGTTTTCTCCAAGTCACTGTGTTCAGAGTCCAGACGTGTATAGACTATGAACTGGGAGATTTGATTTCGTTCATGAGAGATTATACAAAACTGAACAGAGAAAGAGAAAAAACAAAAATGCTAAGAAAAATCCACAACGTCACAAATCTATTTACATAATGTCATTGTGCCATGAAAGAACTATATCTTCAAGCTCTGTAACCAAATCACACCACCGTGAATCATCTTCTTCACCTTCAACAACTTTCACTTCAACCACCACAACATCAACAGCTACCTCCACAGCTTCCACCACAATCGCTGTCCTTCCTCTCCCTAATCCAACCACCTTCGCTTCTCCTTCTTTCTTCATCTTCTTCTTCACTACATACCCTAACTTCTCCCCAATCTCCTTCACCTTCTCCTCCACTTCAACAGCTGTAACCTTCGCCGTGAATCTCCTCTCCTTCTTCTTCTTAACCTCAAACAATCCCGAAAGATCTAACCCCGACGATAACGAGATCAGATCAAAAGCAGTAATCGAACTAACACTCGATTTCATCTCCGGCTCTGAATCAAACACGTTACGGTGAAACTCAGAAGTTTCTAGAGACTTCTTGAACCAACTCGTCTTCATAACTGTTTCAATACTCATCCTCGTTACTGGATTCGGATCTAACATCTGATATATAATCGATTTAGCTTGTTTCGAGATCCAGCTCGGGAATTTATAATCTCTCCGATGAATCTTCCGATACATCGCTGCGATATTCGAATCATCGAAAGGAACATTACCGACTAATAGAACGAACAAAATCACACCACAAGACCACGCATCAGCTTTTGCTCCGTCGTATCCCTTCCGTGAGATAACCTCCGGAGCTGTGTAAGCCGGAGTACCACACGCCGTGTGAAGCAATCCGTTCTGGAGATGTTCCGGTAAAGCAGATAAACCGAAGTCAGAGACCTTGAGGTTACCTTGCTCATCCAAGAGTAGATTCTGCGGTTTCACGTCGCGGTGAGCGACACCGTCTCGGTGAGAGAAGCTGAGCGCGGAGGCGAGTTGTTGGAAGTAACGACGCGCCGTCGATTCGGGGAGACGACCACGGCGGAGGACTTTTGAGAATAGCTCACCACCTGAAGCGAGTTCCATTACGAGGTAGATCTTAGATTTGGTAGCCATAACTTCATGGATCTTGAGTATGTTTGGATGATGACGGAGACGACGCATCGCATCGATCTCTCTGATGATTCGCGGCTCCATGCCGGATTCGATTGTTTTCTTCTTCTCGATGATTTTAATGGCGACGAGCTCGTCGGAATCGATTGAACGAGCTAAATGGACTTTCGCGAAGCTTCCGCTTCCGAGTCGGCGACCGAGTTCGTATTTGCCGAGGAGAAACTTCGCCGGAGATGACTGGTTCTGTGGCTGAGGAAGTGATTCCATGGCGGCGGCGGCGTAAGAAGAGAGTGGTGCCTGAGTTAGAGTTTTCAGGGACGATTTGTTTGGTGAGCTTCCTTTGGCTTTTATAGGGAAATGCTATACCCAAATTGCCCTTTATTTATTTCTTCTATTTATTTCTTTTTGTTTTTATTTGTCTGTTTTCTCTATATAATAGTGTATTTAATTTTTTTACTCAATCATAGCAGATATTAATCAATTTTTAAGAACTATATATAATAGTGGCTATTAATGAAAAATGGTTATGCAATAGTATATATATTTTTTTGTCATATAGTATAAACCTTAGTATATTTTTGGTCATAGAATAAATTTTAGTATATTTATTTTTTAAAAATCATTAACAAATGAAATGATGTGTTGTATGAAAGATTAGTAAATAAATTAAGATTTAAGTGTTTAATGTGATTTTATATTACCATCTTTACACATTTTAGTTAGTAATATACTTTAGATAAATAATGTTGGGGTCATATTTTATATTTTATAAATGAGCAAAATCATCATATAACAACAAGTAGAAAAATGTTTAAACATTTTATGATTTCATAAAAGATATTTATCGACATTATATTTTAAAAGTTCATACATTTTGAAAAAAAATTGGACACCTTACTGATTTGTTTGATGAGCTTTAATAATAAATTACCTGAATTTATTGCATTTTACCAAAATTTCTCTGAAGAAATTAATTATGATGTCATATTAATTTTTTGAAAATTTAGGAAAAGTATTTATTATATCTCAGGTTTTTATTTTTTGTCTATATAATAAAAGTGTATTTTTCTCTCTCTCAATCATAGCATATATTAATAATTCTAACAAACTAAATATAATAGTGGTTGTAATGAAAAATGGTCATGCAATTTGTAGTAATACAATTTGCTATACATTTTTCTCAAAAATCATTAACAAATGAATAATGCGTTGTATAAAAAACTAGTAAAAATATGTGGTTTGAGTGATTAATTTAATTTTAAGTTCCCATCTCTAAACATTATAGTTAGTAATGAATTACGTATTTTGATAAAAAAAATTTTGGAGTCGTATTTATATTTTTATAACTTACCATAATCATCACATAAAAGGTAGAAGCATGGTTAAATATTTTATGTTTTCATAAGACGTATTTATCGACTTGTAAAACACTTTTAAAAGACCGTACTGATATCTCACATGAGAAGTTGACTAATTTAGATTGATAACTTATAAAGAAAGAATTATTTTTATATATGAACATTTTTAACTCAATAATAAATTTTAATTTCTATGCATTTGTGGCCTGATTATAATGCTTCATGACTTTGTGAATAACACCCAAAAAACATATCAACACGTTACAAAATGTTATATAAAATATTTAAGAGTTTATATATTCATACTTCAGATCTAGACTATGTTATGAATGAATCATTTCTATATCTTCAAATTAAGTTTTAACTCTTTGATCGCTGCAAGTGGTGTTAAAACGTGACGGTAGTAGTTATTGGTGGTGGTGAAAAAGCACTAGCATTTATATTATACTTTAGTTCTACATATTTACCAGTATAGATTAAAAAAAATAAATGTTTTGATGTTTATCATTTTTGTATGTATGTGTAATTATTATCTAGAATTAAATATACCATTTTTTAAATAAAGGTCTTTCAGTTTTCACAACGGTCTGATTCTTTTTTATCTAGACGGTTCGATGGAAACTCACCCAACGATAACTAAGTTAGAGCCAATCATTTTTTACCGTTAAAGATTCAGCATATCTGTAAGTCCACATAAAAGCCTATTAAACTCGATCGGATTATCCAGAAATCTAAACAAATTTTGATGACTTCCATTTAGGAAAAAGTAGTTATTATATACCACATTATTATTTTTTAACTACAAAATAAATGTGTATTTTCTTTTCTTTCAATCATAGCATATATTAATAATTCTAAACAACAAAATATAATAGTGGTGAAATAAAAAAAAATGGTCATGAAATATGTAGTAATACAATTTACTATATTGCTTTTCAAAATCATTAACAAATGAATAATGTGTTGTATAAAAAAGTAGTTCAATTCTACAAATTTATCAGTATAGATTAAGAAATAAATGATTTTGATGTTTATCATTATTTGTATGTATACGTAATTATTATCTAGTATTAAATATTTATTCTCCATATTTTCAACGGTTCATATGTCTTTACTATTTTCCTCTATAGGTTCTCTCCTTCTTATCATTCCCATCAAATATTTTTCACCTGTAAACTAATCATTAAATCAATAATTAATTAGATTAATTGAACTAAGGGGTATATACGTCATTTACACAAGACGCAAACTGATCAGTGGTGGCTCTCTCTAGAGACCCAACTAAATAAACCGTCAAGATCATTTGGAAGTTGTCGACTTAACAGATGGACGGTTCTGATTCCACCAACTCAGCAAGGGTCCTCGAACATGGTATGGTGGAGCAAAAACAAAATTGATGTTTTTGATTTTGGTGTTAAAGTTAAAAAGCTAATTACAACAATTCTTTGGTTTAATCTTATTTTTATTCTCCTGAGATTTAGACTTTGTAAGTCAACAATGTCATATTCGTCACACACACTATATAATAGAACTCTCTCACAATATTATAAGAATGAAATGTTTTAACGCATATGCATGAAAATGTAACGATGATATCATAACATTAAACCTTTTTTTGATACGTATCTTAGAAAAAAATTATTGCTATATATTTGGACTATTATGTGTGTAGTGGAGTTAGTATATGATTATATATGTTGTATCAAAATATCTTCTGCAGGTAATCTTTTAATACTGACTAGCTAGGTCAGAGAGACAGAGACCATGTTGTAATTTTCTTCATAATAAACCCAAATTTTATGATTTTATAGAAACCTAAAGTATTAAACATACTATAGTAAAAGATTATGTATATATATTAACAAACCAAATTAAAACAATTACGCATATAATGAAGGGGGAATTTCAAAAATACACTTTTTCCAATACCACTTTTTAAAAATACATCTCTTTCTAATTTTATCAAAAAGTCAGTATAAAATTTAAAATTTATCAAAAAAATATGTGTAAACTTATATTTATATACACAAATTATCTTTATATGTATGTAAATTATATATATATATTTTATAAATACCGTATAAATACCTTTTAAAAACCTTTTAAAAATCATTTAAAAACCTTATAAAACTGTGTAAACCTTTTAAAAATCTTATAAAAACATTATAAATGCCGTTTAGACCCTTTTAAAACCTTATAAATATTTGGATTTAATCTCCCAGTAGTAATGATGATCTCGATGTACCTTATTAACCATATAAAAGTTTATAATTTTCATATTTAAAAAATGGTATTTTTGAAAATGGATAGAAAAGAGGAATATTTTTAAAAAGGGATACACCAAAAAATGTATTTCTCGAAAATTCTCTACAATGATAACTTATAATTGGGTACTCGAGCTATAAGTAGGAAGGAGTTGTCTTAAGTAGACTTAAAATTCATTAAGATATCATATTAGGAAAAAAAAATGGAAAAAGTTGAGAAACGATACGACCATTAAACTTTCAAAGAGACGTGATAAAACTATGTTTGCCATATAATTATAAATGTCGAGTTGCGTGAGACAGAGGATAACTTAGAATCTAATAATAATAATAATGAAGCTCTTTACATTTTTGTTCTTTGTAATGAGAATTTTGATTGTGTGTCGAGCCCTTGTGTGGCTACATATGTGGTGTGTGGGTGTGAGACTGTGAGGTGTTCTATCTGCAATCAGAGATAGGTAGAGAAGTTGAAACGTAAGGTATGAATGATTTTGTTTTACTATCATTTCATAGGACAAATTAGGCAAATCACTTGTTAATTTTACTATCATTTCATAAGGACAAGGTTAGGCAAAATCTTGTTTTATTTAACAATCATTTCATTAGGACAAGTTAGGCAAAATCTTTACTACCATTCTGTTACTTTGGTTATAATGTTTTTTTCGTACATGTTTATGTTTATATGGTTTGTGTTGTTACATTCTTGCTTAAATGGTTACTTATTAATTCAAATGTATAAATAAATACCAAAATAATAATCGTAGAATTACAGAAATTTCTTAGATCCATCATCGAGTGGAAGACGACATGATTTAGACCGCAAAAATGAAAACGACACAATGATAAAATAAACAAATATTCGAAAATAACAAGGAACCACCAATTATAGATCTTAGTGATTTAGTAATGTTATATCAAATGAATCATATATATTAGCTCTACCTATATGTTTGCCATGTGTTTCGATTAATATATATTATATACACAGAAAATACTTGGTCAAAAAGATGAGTCCAATACATTTCAACGAATCTTTTTTCATATTAAAGAAATGAAAAAGAAAAAGAAAAAAAGTGTGTCACATTCGAATTATTTTGTGAAGTGGCTGATTCTATATGAGTTCTAGATCTGTGGATCTGTAAAAATGTTGATACAAGAACAAATAAATAGAATAAAAAGATTTGAATATCATTGTTAAAAAGGTGACGTGCAGTAAAAGTATTAGATTGATTTGTTTTCTTTCGTAAAAATTCCATAATGAAGTGTTTTAGATTCATAGAAACTAAAACTTTGAGGTCTTTTTGAGTAAGTTACGTACGAGTGAGTGAGATCAAAACTTGTTTACATAGTTAAGTTATTGCGATTGCATGATCAATCGACAAATTTTGCAATTTTTTTGCATAATAGCCAATTAAATAAAAATATATATATAGATATATACTAAAAAAAACAAGCAAACAAACAAAAAGAAAATATATATCAGCGAAATATGTTTTTATGCCAATGATCTTTAGGCAAGTGGCTATGCCATTTTTGCCGATTCTTAATTTTTTGGTAATTTCCATTTTTGGTAATGTTTTTTTTTTAGCATGGGGATTGGGGAGCTCAAGATTCCCATATTGGGAATTTCTGTTCCTTAAACCATGGAATTTATAAAAAAGTGAGTGAAAATATTTTAGAGTTAAGT